GCGTGATGTAGGACGTCCACGGTTAATAGTTGTAAAACGAAAAACACCTGTGATGTAGGACGTCCACGGTTAATAGTTGTAAAACGAAAAACACCTGTGATGTAGGACGTCCACGGTTAATAGTTGTAAAACGAAAAACACTTGTGATGAAGGACGTCCACGATTAATAGTTGGTAGGCTATCTAACAAGCATTTTTTTAACAAACACAATACTAAGTAATATAGGTTTAACGTATGTTTCAGATGAAACTGATATACGCTGTAGTCTCACTATTTATTGGGGAGTTTTTTGTTATGGCGATGAGCTATGTCCATGACATCATGCATTTCAATTCGTTATTTTACGCATGCTGAGCAGTGGTATCACTTGAGGTTTGTAATATTGCGGTGTTTACTTATTATTTGTAAGCTTTGGGGATTACCTGTTTAGTTTGCAACCTAAGGTTTGTAATATTGCGTTGTTTACTTATTATTTGTAAGCTTTGGGGATTACCTGTTTAATTTGCAACCTAAGGTTTGTAATATTGCTGTGTTTACTTATTATTTGTAAGCTTTGGGGATTACCTGTTTAGTTTGCAACCTAAGGTTTGTAATATTGCGGTGTTTACTTATTATCTGTAAGGTTTTGGGATTACCTGTTTAATTTGCAACCTAAGGTTTGTAATATTGCGGTGTTTACTTACTATCTGTAAGCTTTTGATAGTGCCTGTTTAACTTGCAAACTAAGGTTTGTAATATTGCTGTGTTTACTTATTATCTGTAAGGTTTTGGGATTACCTGTTTAATTTCCAGCCTAAGGTTTGTAATATTGTGATGTTTACTTATTATCTGTAAGGTTTTGATAGTGCCTGTTTAACTTGCAAACTAAGGTTTGTAATATTGTGATATTTACTTATTATCTGTAAATTTTGGGATTACCTGTTTAACTTCCAACCTAAGGGTTGTAATATTGTGATGTTTACTTATTATCTGTAAATTAAATAGGTTTATCTATTTAACTTCAACCTAAGGTTTGTGATATTGCGGTGTTTACTTATCATATGTAAATTAAATAGGTTTATCTATTTAACTTCAACCTAAGGTTTGTGATATTGCGGTGTTTACTTATCATATGTAAATTAAATAGGTTTATCTATTTAACTTCAACCTAAAGTTTGTGATACTGTGATGTTTACTTATCATATGTAAATTAAATAGGTTTATCTATTTAACTTCAACCTAAGGTTTGTGATATTGTGATGTTTACTTATCATCAGTGAAGTTCTAGGTTTATCTGTTTAATTTGCTTACCCGTTTAGCGTATTGTACCAAGTTGGTTAGGGAGCACTACTATATCATCAATTGAATCATTGTACAGAACTTGTATAACGCTTACTTTTGTTAAAAAAAAAATAGGTTGTGCTTAATCTGGTTACATGTATAATAACTTTTAAACAAATATTTTTTACATCTGTTGCTAATTTTTCATAATTACAAGGTGCTTGTACATATATATATATATATATATACTGAATCATTAAGATTTAACACAATTATAGAAGGATAATTTGTGTACTTTGTCTTCACTGGTTCTCCTTAGAGAAGTCCTAGAAATGATTAATTTCCGACGTACTCAGACAATTTCTCCTGCTAATTGTTAGCAATCAAAGAAATCAGTATTAAGACTTAGCAGTAACACGCATCTTGTCTTACTTTTAGCACTAGATGCAACCATCTAAGCGATATTTCTAGTTCCTGAAATGTACCTGATGTAACATTTAATTTCACGAGAGTTTTTTTCTTTCTTGTTATGCGCTAGCTAACATGTCGATAGTTTTCTGTGTTTTTTCTTTTCTTTTCTTTTTTTTTCTTTTTGCAGACAGCCCGGAAAACTGCAAGAAACACTGACTTTCTAACGTTCTTTACAATGGTACGATAACACAAAAATCAATGAAGTTTGAATGTGTTTTTTTTTTCTTTCTGAAGAAACCAAGGTCTCGCCCAAAAAGCGATAATTTAAGGACTCGCTTGTATTGATATTATTTATTTTCAATAGATTATATAATAGAAGACACTATGTGAAATATTAATGACCATCTTGCAAGATTTGATAATAGCTTGCCATTCTGTTTAAAATATTGACTTTTTTACCTTACAGTAAAATTTCATTCGTTACTTCTAAACAGTCAACAATGTTCACGAGAAGCAAGAAGAATTGTTTAGGACGTGGCGTGATTGTCAGCTCTGGTATGCTAAACAAAACTTTTATTGACATTGTGCAAAGAAATACCGAGTAAATAGCGGTCGAAATGGAATTATGCAAATCCGTCCACAACGTATAGAAATTGTTTAAATATTCCACCTGGTGGATTTTCTAACAGAACCATCACCAAAGAGAAATGTGTGGATTTCATCTAAACGTATGGGGCCTGGCATGGCCTGGTGGTTAAGGCGCTCGACTCGCAATCTGAAGGTTGCAGGCTCGAATCCCTGTCACCGAATATGCTCACCCTTTCAGTCATGAGGGCGTCATAATGTAATAATTATTCAAAGAGTTAGCGGTGGGTGGTGTTGACTAGCTCCCTTCCATATAGTCTATCACTGCTAAATTATGGACGGCTAGTGCAGATGGTCCTCGTGTAGCTTTGCGCGAAATTCAGAATAAATCAAACAAACTTAAACATATGAGATAGCCGTGTTCCACTTCTATTTTCCAAAGGTTCGTGATCATCGACCCGCTCTTTCTATCAGGAGTATGTGAATGAAGAATGAGGTTTTCTAAATACATAAAGAGTTAATGAGTTGTTAACATTCAAGTCGATGTTTGCTTTTTTGCTTATCTAAAAGTGAAAGTGCACTTGAGAAGTTTCAAATCTATATAAATTGCTTCAAAAGCCAGCATGGCCTACCTTCATCGACATTAAGGCGGGTATGTTCTAATTCGCGTATCAACGTAAAAGGCATGGCCACAACGTTAGAATTGTGCATTTATATTACTCATGCCAGCAAAGATGATGAAACCGAAACTAAATCTTCTACATCACGTACATGAATACTTATAAGTTTTAAATGAACATTTCCGATCCTGAAAATATCCTACGTAATAACAATAATAACTAATTCATACTGAAACGTCCCCCGTGTTTTTGTCTTCTTCTCAGAGTTCATTGTTTTTTTTTTTTGAACTACTGTTTCTGTGAAAACTTATTCTAAATTTTGTAACTAATATTGTTTTTATATGCTTCAGTGTCGTTCCGTTACTTCTTAGTAAAGAATCTATAAAATGTTAGCATAGAACTCTGAAAAATATGGAACAATGGAAAGATATATCTTTTACAGAAAAAGTTTTTCAAGTTAGTAATTTTTATCACAATTTCTACAAAGTCCAAACCTGGATTTTCAAGCTGTAAGGTCGCAGACTTACCGCTGTCCTACAGAGTGACTGTTCATGTGTTATTATTTCTAATTATTCACCATGCAACGGAACATAAATTAATTCCCAAACATACGAATTAAAATATTCACTCAAATGATGCATTATTGTTACACGTGCTGCTTAAAAGAAATTTGCTTAATTATTCTAAGCTCGTGTTGTACAGCCTCATAACGTGCAAAAAAGATGAACTTGAAGAGCGTATTTTCGTCTAGTAATATCTACGTATGAATAAGAATGTTGAAAAGTAACGAACGTTATATCAACGTGAGAGTAGGAATGTGCAAAAGTAACTAACATTATATCAACGTCAGAGTAGAAATGTGCAAAAGTAACTAACGTTATATCAATGTGTGAACAAAGAATGTTTAAATATAACGAACGTTATATGAACGTGAGAGTAGGAATGTGCAAAAGTAACGAACGTTATATCAACGTCAGGGTAGGAATGTGCAAAAGTAGCGAACGTTATATCAACGTCAGGGTAGGAATGTGCAAAAGTAGCGAACGTTATATCAACGTGAGAGTAGGAATGTGCAAAAGTAACTAACATTATATCAACGTCAGAGTAGGAATGTGCAAAAGTAACTAACGTTATACCAATGTGTGAACAAAGAATGTTTAAATATAACGAACGTTATATCAACGTGGGAGTAGAAATGTGCGAAACTAACTAACGCTACAGGTATATGAACTTAAGAGTAGGATGCTTAAAAACAACGGCACTATATAACTTTAACCTGAGAGAACGAACGTTGAAAAATAACGAACATTGCATCAACGCGAAAATGGGAACGAATATCAACGTGAGGATAGAAACGTTTAAGAATAACGAGCGTGGTTTATTGATCCGCTTTAAAAATAAAACATTACTTCGTTTTAGTTATCTAAAAAAAAAACAGCCTTCAAAACAAACTTATTTCTAGACACTAAATGAAGTGAAGAACACCGATACTGAACAATTAAATAATTAATTTGGTTTAATTAAGCTCGATCTCACATTTTCTTATAGACACGTTGTTTGGTGAGTTATTGAAATTTATCAAAACATTCTCTAAATGACTCAATTTTCATCAGGTTGATAAATACTGTCCGTTCCAGCAAAACATCTAATCGAATCGATTTTGTGAGTTTCAACGCCTTGAACGAATAGGCCCGGCATGGCCAGGTGGATAAGGCGCTCGACTCACAATCTGAGGGTCGCGGGTTCGAATCCGCATACCACCAAACATGCTCGCCCTTTCAACCGTGGGGGCGTTATAAGGTAACTGTAAACCCCACTATTCGTTGGTAAAAGAGTAGCCCAAGAGTTGGCGGTGGGTGGTGTTGACTAGCTGCC